CTCGGCAGTCCTGGTTCGTGAATCGATTGGGTAAGAAAAATGTCAGCCAAATCAATCACCAACTCCTCGTTTTACTCTCTGTCTCGATCTTCTCCACTCCCCCAAAAAACTCCTCGAGTAAGCAAAAGGCTGCTAATAAATTTCATTGGGAAACAGATGATTTATGGATCAACGACACAGCCCAGCCAATTCTTGTATAAGTACTCCCTCGTCCCTCTCCCTCCCAGTCCCAGCCAGTTGCTCCCTGCATCCAGTGACCAGAGGCGCATGCAGCAGCAGAAATTCAGATTCAAAACCAGCGATGCTTCAGAAGACTTGATTGCTCGAGGATCCAAGAGTCCAGTGACATTCAGGCATTCGGTTTTCAGATTCAGGTACACCTAACCTACACCATTCAGTTCATCAGATCTTGCCTTTGAATTACAGTTTTGTGAGTAAGAATGTAATATATGAACCCGTTCATTATTCAGAGATTGCGATGGCGTTTGGGTCGAAACGTAAGTTAGCAGATCGGAGTGACATCCAGGAGGATGACGCTGATGATGTTGATCTCATCAATTCCGATGATGAGCGTAATAGCGCTGATGAACAAGATGAATCTGCCGAGCATGGTACTGCAAAACCTGCTAAATCCCTTCTAGATGAGGTATTTTTTCTTGATGCACCTAAAGGGAAGAACTCTGGTGGACCAAGACCCTGGCGATGCAAACATTGTGATAAGAAGTACACGAGTAGTTATACAAGAATTCATCAGCACTTCTTTGGTGTTGGTCCTGGCAAGACGAAACAAATTGCTCGCTGCTCTGTCGCAAGTGATCGCGTCAAGTATAAGAAAATATATGATAAGGTATATGCACATGCTTTTTATGAGAAAAATTATTCAGACAACACCACAACAATTGGCACCTATATGAATCTTTCCCTGTTTTGATTTACAGTATCACCAACCTGAGAAAGTACAAGCTACAGGCTCGGCGCCTAAAAAGCAATTAGTATAAGCTTTTGCTGGGGTGGAAAGAGATGCAGTGGACATGCAAATAATGTTGTTCCTTTGTGCTAATGGAATTCCCTTTAATGTGTTGACAAGTCCTCAACACTATGAAATGGTAGCAGCCATCCAGAGAGCACCAAAGGGATACAAACCTCCTGCATATGAGAAGGCTAGGACTACTCTTCTAGATGCATGTAAGAGAAAGGTGGAGAATGATTTGGCTCCGGTTAGACAAACATGGTAAGCCTCAAACATTTAGCATTTGTAATCATCTATTTTTTCTGACGGATGGTGTCTCATGGTGTCTATAACTGTATATAGGTATTCCCATGGTGTCTCTGTTGTTTCTGACGGATGGACAAATATGAAGAACCATCCATTAATCAACGTAATAGCATCGAATAGCTGTGGTTCAATGTTTCTGTACGTAGAAGACTTCTCTGGAGAAGAGAAGACAGGTGAAGCCATTGCACAATTCTTACTGCAAGCCATTGAGGAGATTGGCCCTTCCAATGTCCTTCAGGTCATCACTGATAATGCATCTAATTGCAGAGTTGCGGGTGAAGAAATTGAGAAAGTATGTTTTTCATTGTTTGGTACATTGATTTTAGTTTGAGGATCACGTATATCCAATTGTGTTTCTCTTTTCTATTTGACAGGTGCATAAGCATATATTTTGGTCTCCATGTGTGGTTCACACACTGAATCTAGTATTCAAAGATTTTGCAAAAAAAAGTTTGCTTGGATGGTTGATACATACCAGACTGGGAAAGCAATTGTGAAGTTCTTTAGGAACCACCAGCACTTTCAAGATCTCTTTAGACGCAACTCCAAGTTGGATCTTTTGAAGGTCTCAAAAACAAGATTTGCTTCTCATTATATTGTGCTTAAGAGGCTTATGGATGTTCGAGAGGCGCTCACAACTACCATTGTCACAAGAAAGTGGAAGGAACTGGTGAAGGCTTGTGATGTACAAACAAGAGCAGCAGCAAATGCGATTGCCGAAAATATCATTGATGAGACATTTTGGGATGAGATTAAAATCATCCTTGACATGACAAAACCATTATACATGGTAATCAAGTTCAGTGACGGAGAAGGTCCAAAATCTGGTGATATATATGAAAGAATGGACAATATGCTTGGCGAGATGCAAGAAGTCATGACAAGGGAAGATAACCCTCACAAAGATGATTGGTCGAAGGTAAATGAAATTATTCTTTATCGATGGGGAAAGATGAACTGGCATTTTCATTGCTTAGCGTTTGCTCTTTCTCCTAAGTATTATGATCAAGCCTGTCTTGCAAGTCCTGCTCCTGGTGGTGGTCAAAGGAAAGCTCCAAATGATGACAGTGAGGTTATGGAAGGTGTTATAGAGGCTCTAAATAGAATTGCAGAAGATAAAAAAGAGTATGCTCTTTTACGTGAGGAGCTTAACACCTTTATAATGAAGAAAGGTTTGTATGCAATAGACGCCGTTCAGGCTGATGCAGCCACGATGAATGCCACATAATGGTGGTTCAATTATGGCTCACAAACTCCAACTTTAAGTGAGGTGGCAAAGAAAGTCTTGTCTCAGCCAATAAGCAGCTCCTCTGCCGAAAGAAATTGGAGTACCTACTCATTCATACATAATGTAAAGAGAAACAAGCTGAATGCAACGACAGCCGATAAGCTTGTCTTTATTCATGCAAACGAGCGTCTGAAGAGGAGGTTTTCAGAGGGCTACAATTCAGGTCCACATTAGGATGTTGAGCCTGAGAATGATTTGCTGGAGGATTCAAGCTTGAAGCTTGAGCAGCTGCGTTGGGATAGCTTGGAGGATGAAGCAGCTGATGCTGAACCACCACACAAAATTCAGAGGCCTTGAAACACTAGGAAGTGTCCGGTACTAAATCTGAACTCTTCAATATATTGACTCCAATCTTTACATTCTATGGTCACTAATAGTTCTCTTTTAATTGAAGGTACATGGCGAGTTAATCTGTTGGTGAAACTTTATTGGTTGGAAACCTGGAAGATGAGTCACTTGGATGCTGCTATTGAAGTGATTGTGTCTGTTACCTTAGTCAATCTGTTTTCTTGTTTGCTACTCTGGTTAAGTCAAGTATTTTGTTAAGTACTCGTGCTGAAATTTTAATTAAATATATCATGTCTTATCATCGTTCATATGGTTGATCCACCGTTGTACCGGGTTCATCATCCCAACTAGTAAAGATTCACGTTCCTCGTACCGTACCGGATTCATCGTACCGGAATTGATTGGATCGTGTTTCCGCTTGACAAAAATCGTTCTAGAGATGTATACCCCTGCTGTACCCTATTTTTTCCAGCCTCCGACTCTCGTCCCCCGTTCCCGTTCCTCGTTCCCACCGTACCGGAAACATGGCAACTATGGGACAGGCATCGTCTCGCTCTCGCCGCCGAGCAACGACAAGGTTTCGAGCGATTCTTTTCGGCGTCCGTCATGGCCCTACGGCTCGCCCAATCCAAGGTCTTCTACTCTACTTCTTCCTTTCCCCGGTGTGACCCTGTTTCTGAATCTGCAGCTGCGAGCGACTGTCTGTCGACGTTTTAGACTCTAGTTTACGGGTTGCCATTTCAGGGCCATGTCGGCTCCCGTAGCTGCTGAATTCAACGTTTGCTTTGCTGAATGCTGCTTAACCCTCGTTGGTTTTTGTGTCACAGGCTGCAATGCATCTGGCAAGGCGTGGACTGGCGCGTGTGATTTGCAACGTGCCGGCTTCTTTCAGGGCAAATGCAGCTACCGGCGCAGGTACCTCTCCGTCGCTCGCACGCTGTTCGGTTTGCTGTGCCCAGTATCCTGTTGTTGATCATACAAACATCTCATTATAATCTACATATGACTTGTTGGTACTTGTTTGATTCTTACGTACCATGGAGCAACTAGTTAAATCTCCTTTCTGTAAACTGATCAGCTCTGCGGATGCTTACTAATCCAGGTAGCATTGTTCGTCGCCTGTACTCTGGTGCCGCTTCTCGTCTCAGAGACCTCAACAGAATGGGCCTGCACTCTGGTGCCGCTTCTTGTCTCACACACCTGAACAGAAGGGGCCTGCACTCTGGCGCCGCTTCTCGTCTCACACACCTGAACAGAAGAGGCCTGCACTCTGGCGCCGCTTCTCGTCTCACAGACCTCAACAGCAGTGATCTAGAAAGAGTTATATACAACTTCGAAAGCCAGCCTTCGATGCATTCCAAACCTTCAGCTCTCTCAGAGTATGTAAAGGCCCTCGTCAGCCTCGAGATGAGAACTCAAGGTAGGTGGCCTCAATTTCTACTTAACCCGAGCATACGATTCACCAATTTTATATGCAATCTGTTTACAACTTGTTTCTGCTAACTGATTTGGCAGGGGTGGAGGGCAGCCAGCTCCTGTCGAAGGATGGTGCTCTGGGCACAGCTACTGCACCGCTCCACATGGTTACAATGGAGAAGGGCAAGATATGGAAACTGCTATGGCCCACCTTCGGGACCATCGCTGCTGCCGGCCTAGCTACTGGCCTTGCGACCTATGGCGGCAAGGCTCTTGGTGACAAGGTGTCTGAGAAGGTAATTGAGGCTGCTGATCAGGGCCTTGTAGTCTTTGCCGGCAAGATTCCGGCTGAGCTCTTGGGCGAAACGGAAGACGAGTACGGTGGTGTCGAAGAAGCTGCAGGTAGTACGTTCAGTGGTCAGAAAACAAAAGTTGGTAATTTTGGCAGTTTGAAAGAGGTAACCTCGACCACCACGAAATTCCGTTATGTAAAGGGGGCTGACGAAGCCAAAGCTGACCTCGAGGACATTGCTCACTACCTACGAGATCCCAAGGTGAGTGTGACTGTGACACTGCCATCATCAACCTTCTTCATGCAGCTCAGCGATCGTTTCTTTCCTCGTGTGGTTAATTAACCCAGTTTCACATGCTTGCTTTGCAGCGTTTCACGCGCCTTGGTGCCAAGCTTCCAAAGGGCGTTCTGCTTTCTGGTCACCAGGCACAGGGAAGACCATGTTGGCGAGGGCGTTGGCCGGGGAAACTGGCGTCCCGTTCTTCGCGTGCAGCGGCAGCCACTTCGAGGACAAGTATATCGGTGTTGCCTCTAAAAGAGTGAGGGAGCTCTTCAGTGAAACAAAGAAGCGCTCCCCTTGCATAATATTCATCGACGAAATCGATGCCATTGCTGGTCCTAGAAATACAGAAGATCCAATGTGGATGAGGCATACCCTGAACCAGCTGCTTTCTGAGATGGATGGCTTCAAGCAGAATGACGGGGTCATCGTGATCGCCGCGACCAACTTCAAGGAGTCGCTAGATAAAGCCCTCGTCAGGCCTGGGCGTTTTGACCGTCATGTCCACGTTCCTCTTCCAGATGTCGAGGGCCGACGCCAGATCCTCGAGTCTTATATCTCAAAGGTGACATACTCCCTCTGTCCCCCAAAAATATTTGCAATCTATTATAATGTAAGACTTAACTTTAACCTTTTCTGTGTATTTTTCCATGCATGCAGGTGAAAGCCAAGGGTGTGGATGTGTTGACAATCGCTACAGGGATACCTGGGCTCTCGGGTGCAGACCTTGCAAACATGGTGAATGAGGCTGCCCTCACCGCTGCCAAGGACGGGGCGAGAGCTGTTACGATGCATCACCTAGAGTATGCCAAGGACAGGATCATGATGGGCAGCGAGCGCAAGTCGGCGGTGATACCTGATCATGCCAGAAAGATGACCGCCTACCATGAGGGAGGGCACGCTCTTGTTGCTATCTTCACTGACGGCGCTGACGCTGTCGAGAAGGCTACCATTGTTCCCAGGGGGGACGCTCTTGGCATGGTGATGCAGCTGCCGGGGGAAGACGCCGAGTTTGAACTCTCGAGGAAGAAGATGCTGGCAACTCTAGATGTCCTGATGGGCGGGCGGGTGGCCGAGGAGCTTATAGCCGGAGAAGGCGGGGTCACCACTGGCCCCTCATCTGATCTAAGCGGGGCGTGGTAGGATCAAGTACTCTACCAGGTCTAGGGCGTAGGTGGTAAGGGAAGGATGGAGGGAGACGTGGCGAGGATCGGACGCGCCGGCGACAGGGCGCCGTCGCGGCTAGGAGAAGGGCGGCGGCTAGGGCTGTTGGCGGCTAGGGTTCCGGCTCCTCAGGGAGCCGGGCAATAGGAGATAATATTCTTCTTATTGCTTGCCTTCAAAAAGAGTCTTACAACCTATATTTATATCCTAGATAACTTGTAGAAGAATCAACCTAAGATAACTTGCCTAAGATAACTTGCCTAATCTGAAAATAAAAACTAAGATAACTTGCGGGCCTAAGCCGGCCGGCCATAACACTTCTCCCCGCCTGCACAAACAGCTCGTCCTCGAGCTGTAAGGTGCGGAAGCGCTTGCTTGAACTCTTCGAGGTAATCAACCAACGTCAAACACCTTCTCGACATCTGGGGCGGCCAGGTCGGCGGCGACGACGTCCTCCGGAATGTAGTCTGCCACCTCCAGGTAGAAGAGTCGCGGGCAGGCGTGGCCGGGCTTGTAGGGTTCGTCGCAGTTGAAGCACAACCCTTGGCGGCGACGCTCGAGTATCTCAGCTGGGGTGAGCCGACGGAACGGGCGCCCCGCGGTCGCGGCGATGGGTGCCGCAGAAGCCTGCACAGGCCGACCCTGTGCGGAATCCGGTCCGGGTAGCGACCCAGCAGTCTGGGACGGTGATTCCTGCTGGATGGCCACCGCGCGGCGCTCGAATGCGCGGGCGTAATACATGGCCGACTGGAGATCCTGGGGTCCCCGAAGCTCCACGTCCACGCGGATATGGTCCGGTAGACCGCCCACAAATAACTCGGCGCGCTGAGTTGCGGAGACGCCCGGCGCGTGGCACGCCAGGGCCTGGAAGCGGTCGGCGTAGTCCTGCACCGTGGATGTGAAGGGTAAGCGGCCGAGGGCCGCCAGTCGGCTCCCGCGGATAGGAGGCCCGAACCGGAGGAGACAGAGTTCCCGGAAGCGCTCCCATGGTGGCATGCCGCCCTCGTCCTGCTCGAGGGCGTAGTACCAGGTCTGCGCTGCGCCTCGAAGATGATAGGACGCGAGCCAGGTGCGATCCGAAGCGAGCGTCTGCTGCCCTCGAAAGAACTGCTCGCACTGGTTGAGCCAGTTGAGGGGGTCCTCCGTGCCCTCGTAGGTGGCGAAGTCCAGTTTGGCGAAGCGAGGGGGTGTCGGCCCGCCGTGCCCGGGGGCGGCCGTAGTTGCCGCCGGCGCGTATGCTGGGTCGGGAAGCGCCGGGGCGTAGTTCGTCGAGCTGGAGGGGTGATCAAACCGCAGGGAGGGCGTCGGGTGTTCCGGCGCCGTGGAGTAGACCGGTCCCGAAGACGAGCCGGCCGCCCAAGCGGGGATCGGCGATGGTGACGGTGGAAACTGCACCTGGTGTAGGGGCCGACCCGTAGCCCTAGGCACGGGTGGTGGTACTGTCGATGGCGGCGGCGCCTGGTGGAGCTGCACTGGCGCCTGCAGCGTGGGGGCCAGCGGTGACGCCGGAAGAAGCTGATGGGTCTGGCCCTGCTCCGAGGCGCCGGTGCCCAGGTTAGGGCTGGGCGGGGCCGGTGGAGGACCCTGCTCCGAGGCCGCTGGAAGGTAGGGCGCGACGGAGGATGGCGCGGCCGGCGCGGTCCAGGTGGGCCACTGCGGCCCCGTGGTGGCGAGAAGTGGCGGGGCTGCCGGCGCGATCTGCGGCGGCCACTGCGCCCAAGGCGGCGGTGCGGCCGCTGGGGCGGGGAGCGCCGGGTAGCCTCCGGTGACGGCCCCCGGTGCCGAGTACCACAGAAGCGCCTGCTGACCCGCGGCCATGGCTGGATGGAGTCCGGTGATGGCCCCCGGTGCCGAGTACCACGGAAGCGCCTGCTGACCCGCGGCCATGGCTGGATGGAGTGATGGGGGCGGCCCGTACGGACCTGCCAGGTAGAGGCGGATCCCTTGAACCGCGGTGACGAGGTCGTTGAGGACGCCCGCCATGGCCTCCGACGTGAACTGTTGCGGCTGCGGGGGAGGTGATGGCGGCGGCGAGTGTTGGACGGGGGCCTGTGGCTGCCCTTGGCCCGGCGTGGTGCCGGGTGCCGTTAGGACCGGCGCTGAGAGCGACGCAGTGGTGCCCGCCGAGAGCGAGGCCGTGACGCCTGGCGCAGAGGCGGCGGTGGTGGAGGAGTTGGCGGGCAGCGGTGGTGGTGGCGGTGGAATTGGCGGAGACATGGTCGAAACACGGTTACCTGATACCAAATTGGTAGGATCAAGTGCTCTACCAGGTCTAGGGCGTAGGTGGTAAGGGAAGGATGGAGGGAGACGTGGCGAGGATCGGGCGCGCCGGCGACAGGGCGCCGTCGCGGCTAGGAGAAGGGCGGCGGCTAGGGCTGTTGGCGTTTAGGGTTCCGGCTCCTCAGGGAGCCGGGCAATAGGAGATAATATTATTCTTATTGCTTGCCTTCAAAAAGAGTCTTACAATCTATATTTATATCCTAGATAACTTGTAGAAGAATCAATCTAAGATAACTTACCTAAGATAACTTGCCTAATCTGAAAATAAAAACTAAGATAACTTGCGGGCCTAAGCCGGCCGGCCATAACAGGGCGACTCAGCTGGCGACTGACATGGTCACCAAGTATGGCATGGGCAAGCGGGTGGGCTTTGTTACCTACAGCAATGGCGGTGATGCTAGCGGTGGCAAGGCGACGAACATGAGCGGGCAGATGTCAGAACTGGTTGACGAGGAGGTGAAAGAATTACTGGACAATGCTTACAAGAACGCCAAAGCGATTCTCACGGATCGTAGGAAGGAGCTTGATGCGCTAGCCAACGCCCTCCTGAAGGATGAGACTCTCACTGGTGACCAGATCAAGAAACTAGTAACAGGAGGTGGAAGTAAATGGTTTTGACAATAGTCCTTTGACAGCGAAGAGATTGAACAGACAGTTTGGTCATGTCTCTTCTTCTTTTTGGTTCATTATTATAGCTGCATACACACAAGTGTAAAGAAGATGTACGAGCAGAATTTAATTGACCTTTCCTAGAATACTCTGAATTTTGTTTCTCAGGTCATAGACGTGTAATCCAACTTTTGCATATTATGTTCTGAATAAGTAAATACTTGTGCTTTGGAACTTAAACATGAACTGAATAGGGTTTCTGTGACTGAGCACAAGGATGTGTATAAATGCAATTTTCACAGCCCTGGCTATTGTTCTGCTTTAAACGAGCTTATTAATTGCAGTCACATCAACTAAGTAATGTTTGAGAATGTTGATTCAAATAATGTTCGCAAGCCTTTGCCAAACCTATCGAAAACTATCAGAAAACCACACATAACCCATCGTGCAAACTGTTCATGTATTCAACTGATTTGTCAAAACAGTTTAGGAAATATTATGCATTTATCAAGCTGTAACTCATCAAATTCCAAAAGCCACATAATTCGCCGAGTGAGCTGTTAAAATTGTACTCCCTCCGTAAACTAATATAAAAACGTTTAGATTACTACTTTAATGATCTAAACGCTCTTGTATTAGTTTACAGAGGGAGTAATTTATTTAGATGTCCGGTTTACTTTTTCTAACTCAATTTTTGGACAGATAATTAAAACTGCCCAAAGAAATTAGAAACCAACTACAGGAAAACACACAATATAAGGAAGCTGGAGAGATTTCATGACATTTCTTTCTCAAATCTGAAAAGAGTGTGTTTGTATCTTATATCTATAAAACTCCTGCTTTTGGAACTCAAGCATGTACCCCAAGATTCTGTAACCCGCTCTAAAACAAATACCCATGCCTTTTCCAATCGAATATGGTTTAATGTTACTGATCACATGGATATATAATGTTATTTCATAGTCTCCTAGCTAAATAAATTATTTCCTAGCTGCAAAACCTACATAAAGAGAGAGGACGCGACTGGTGCCACTGTAAGAAACGAGGAGACTAGGTATAGACCCGGAGAGGGGACGTTTAGATGTGTATAGTCCTTTTTCGATACATCCCTATTGTATAAGGGGTTTCTTGCACTTTACCTCACATGTATATGTAATGGCCTTTGGCCCTCAGTGAATACTAGTTGCTCATTATCCAACATGGTATCAGATGCTAGGTTAGCCTCGCTCCCGCACGATGCAACTCCGTGCGTGCTTCCTTGTCCCCGTCGCGGTTGCTAGCCTCCGTCCCTAGCCTCCGTTCGTCCTCGTTCTCATCCGATCTGCAGCCCCCGCTGCCTGAATTTTTCAGCCGGCTGCTCTCTCTCCTCGTCCCCGTCTCAGTTTCCTCCTCCGTTCCTTCCCCGTACGGACGCCGCCGTTGCCCCGTTTCGGCTGTCGCCGCCGTCACGGTTGGCCGCCGCCAGCGCCCAGGTCAGCCCTCGCCGCCGCCCCGGTTGGCCGCAGGCCCTCGCCACCACCCCATCCAGGTTGGCCGCCGCCGCCGCCCCGGTCGGCCCTCGCCACCACCCCGTCCGGACGGCCGTGCCCCTCCTGATGCGCCTGGTCGGCCCTACCTCCCGCCTCGGCCGGTCGCCGGCGCCCCTTCGGATCCGCCTATGTCGGCCCAGCCTACTGCCTCGCTGCCTGGTCGTTCGCTCTGCCTCGAGCGTTTCCCTGCTCGATCCAGATTTAGCCAGGAGTTTGTTGACCAAAAAAAGAAAGAAGAAGAAGAAGAGAGGCTTCCTCATGTCTTCTTCGGGTTATGTCGCTGTCCCTCGGTGCTTGGTGATATTTGATGGCACCAACTATGTTGAGTTTGTGGGCTTCATGCGCATCCATATGCGCAGACTTCTTGTATGGGGTGTTCTCTATAGCGAGGTCCCCTGTCCGCCATATCATGTTGCTTCCGTGGCTCCTACCCCGCCAGTACCGCCGGTTCTTGCTGCTAGTGCTTCCCAGACTGATCAGGATTCGGCCAAGGCTCTCGATGATGCCGCGGTTGATGCTTATGATTAGCAGATGTTAGCTTATTCTGATGCTCTTTCTGCCTAACAAGATGATCTGTCTTCTTACATTGAGTGGTGCAATGATGATGCTTGTGCTGCTGTTGTTCTTACTGCGAGTGTCCTCCCTCAGTTTGCTTCGGAGTTCATGGGCCTCAGCACTGTTGCAGAGATGTGGTCTTATCTCTGTCAACGCTATCAGCCCTTTGGTGATGCTCTCTACTTATCTGTGGTGCGTCAGGAGCATGCTCTTCAGCAGGGTGACTCTTCTATTGACGAGTTCTACACACAAACGTCTGCCATCTGGCGCCAGCTTGAGTCTCTTCGGTCAGTTGTTTGTGGGGCTTGTTGCTGCTGCCAGACTATGCGGTCCATCCTTGAGTTTCAGCGTGTCCATGAGTTCTTATCTGGTCTTCTCTCTGAGTTTGAGCCTCGACGTGCTCACCTGCTTGCTCCTGGTCGTGTTCCTACCTCGGAGGTCCTTGCTGAGCTTTGTGCTGAGGAGACCCGCCTTCGTTCTATTGGGTTGCTTGCTGTTCCTTCAGTGTTGGCTGCTCGAGCTCCTGTGCCGTCTGCTCATCTCACTGCTCCACCGCTTCTGCCCACACCTTCAGGGGGGTGGGTCGCCCTCCTTATGTTGAGAACGGTCGGTCACGCCCGTGACACCTTTTGTGACTACAACTCCAGGCCAGGTCACCCAGAGTCTGATTGTCGCCAGAAGTAGCGAAACCAGAGGCGCTCCTCTTCCAGTGGGACTCCTGCGTCTTCCTCGAATCCTTCACTCACTAACCAGGACATTGTGCGGCTCAAGCGCCTTCTAACTTCCTCTGGTTCTTCATCGACGGGTTCTGTTACTACTGTGACTGCTTGCTGTTGGGGAACGTTGCAGAAAACAAAAATTTTCCTACTCGTTTCACCAAGATCATCTAGGAGTTCATCTAGCAACGAGTGATTAGATGCATCTACATACCTTTGTAGATCGCGAGCGGAAGCGTTCAAAAGAACGGTGATGATGTAGTCGTACTCGACGTGATCCAAATCACCGATGACCAGCGCCGAACGGACGGCACCTCCGCGTTCAACACACGTACGGAACAGCCACGTCTCCTCCTTCTTGATCCAGCAAGGGAGGGAGGAGAGGTTGAGGGAGATGGCACCAGCAGCAGCACGACGGCGTGGTGTTGATGGAGCTGCAGTACTCCGGCAGAGCTTCGCTAAGCACTATGGAGGTGGAGGAGGTGTTGGAGAGGGAGAGGGAGGCAACCAAAGGCCAGAGCGTTCAGGTATGAAGTCCCTCCTCTCCCCCACTATATATAGGGGTGCCAAAGGGGGGGTGGCCGGCCCTAGGAGATCCAATCTCCTAGGGGGTGCGGCGGCCTAGGGGGGTTTCCCTCCCCCCCAAGGCACCTACGAGGTGCCTTACCCTCCTAGGACTCTTCCCCTTCTAAACCCTAGGCGCATGGGCCTATGTGGGGCTGGTGCCCTTGGCCCATTAGGCCAAGGCGCACCCCCTTACAGCCCATGTGGCCCCCCGGGACAGGTGGACCCACCCGGTGGACCCCCGGGACCCTTCCGGTGGTCCCGGTACAATACCGATAACCCCGAAACTTGTCCCGATGCCCGAAACAGGACTTCCCATATATAAATCTTTACCTCCGGACCATTCCGGAACTCCTAGTGACGTCCGGGATCTCATCCGGGACTCCGAACAACATTCGGGTTACTGCATATACATATCCCTACAACCCTAGCGTAACTGAACCTTAAGTGTGTAGACCCTACGGGTTCGATAGACAAGCAGACATGACCGAGACGACTCTCCGGTCAATAACCAACAGCGGGATCTGGATACCCATGTTGGCTCCCACATGCTCCACGATGATCTCATCGGATGAACCACGATGTCGAGGATTCAATCAACCCCGTACGCTATTCCCTTTGTCTATCGATATGTTACTTGCCCGAGATTCGATCGTCGGTATCCCAATACCTCGTTCAATCTCGTTACCGGCAAGTCACTTTACTCGTACCGTAATGCATGATCCCGTGACCAGACACTTGGTCACTCTGAGCTCATTATGATGATGCATTACCGAGTGGGCCCAGTGATACCTCTCCGTCATACGGAGTGACAAATCCCAGTCTTGATCCATGTCACCCAACAGACACTTTTGGAGATACCCGTAGTCTACCTTTATAGTCACCCAGTTACGTTGTGACGTTTGGCATACCCAAAGCACTCCTACGGTATCCGGGAGTTACACGATCTCATGGTCTAAGGAAAAGATACTTTGACATTGCAAAACTCTAGCAAACAAACTATACGATCTTGTGCTATGTTTAGGATTGGGTCTCGTCCATCACATCATTCTCCCAATGATGTGATCTCGTTATCAATGACATCCAGTGTCCATAGTCAGGAAACCATGACTATTTGTTGATCAACGAGCTAGTCAACTAGAGGCTCACTAGGGACATGTTGGTGTCTGTTATTCACACATGCATTACGATTTCCGGATAACACAATTATAGCATGAATAAAGACAATTATCATGAACAAGGAAATATAATAATAATGCTTTTATTATTGCCTCTAGGGCATATTTCCAACACTTGCACCTCTTCATCACCACCGGCATCTACACCGTCAGGTACATCTTCGTGGGTTCTGGACTCTGGAGCTTCCTTTCACATGTCTTCTGATTCTTCAGCGCTGTCTTCTCTTCGCCCTCTTGATTCTCCTGTTAATGTCCTTACCGCCGATGGCACATCTCTTCCTGTTGCTAGTCGTGGCATTCTTTCTACACTATCCTTTTCTGTTCCTATTGTTTCAAATGTTCCCTACCTTACCATGAATCTTTTTTCTGCTGCCCAGCTTACTGATTTTGGTTGTCGTGTCATTCTTGATACCGAGTCTTGCTCCATTCAGGATCATCGCACCAAGGCTTTGGTTGGTGCTGGCCCC